TATAATATCATTTATTCACTCGTTTCTCTAGTGGTCGTGACAGGGAAGTTTCGAAAAACACTGAAATTTCTCACCGTAATCTATTGCCATATAAGAGTCCATGCAATAATACATCAATTAATTATAATGCATTTTTCGAAAATTCTATATTTTCTTCAGAATTCCCACGCTACTTCTATGTAATATGTGCATGGTATTGTAAGTTATATCAATGAAATTATTGAGAAGTGTTTGAGATTTTTTCGTTAAGTGGACGTGCTTTTATTATTATTTCTATTAGTTGTTGTTAATGGGAAATGCGGAAATTTACTAAAATTTGCTCTGGGTGGAAATCTAAACAAACCTCAAAGATTCAGATTGTACTGATTTGTATTAACTGCATTAATTTTGACTTCGAAATTAAAGTAACGAATACATTCATGAAATTGACGTTATCGAGCTTTGACTTGTTTTATGCGAAAAATGAATATATATTTACCTTCGGAGGATAGTTATTTGTTATCAGTGATGATACGGTTATTATTTGAACTTGGTTTCATTAAAGAAACTCAAAGGAACAAAAAATAATCGTCGTGTTGGCGATGTATGGTTAATGGATGTTTTATCTATCGTATTAATAGAGCTAGGGTTTTAAGAATCTTACAACTTTCCTGTGCCCATAAGTATAAAGTAAAGTTTACACTATCGATTTATCTCTTATGAGTGATGTATTAAAAGATTTATTCTTATCCATTGTGTGACGAAACGGCTACGCGTTCGTACTTTATTCAACTGAATGAATCAATATGAATGAGAATAAAGACGAACGAAGAAGAAAGCAAACAGAGAAGAAAGAGCAATGACCGGTCATCTATTGTCAATGAGGCGAAACGGTCAAGAAAGAAAAAGAAACAAGATTAACGAGAGGTGAAAGAATGTCACACATTGCTTATAAATAGATAAAGAACATGTGCATCGTTTACTTGGTTGTCCTTAAATATTTTTTCGTTCTCTTGATTCTTTCAATGTAATCACATTGAGCTCATATATGATAAACCTTCATTCTATTTATTCTCTCAATGTAATTACCTCGTTCTTTTTTCATATTCAGTTTCTCGTAGAGAAGAGTCCAGTAAACATAAATTATTTGATTTTTTGTATGTTCGCAGGGTCAAAAAATATCGAAAATCGATTTTTAGAAAACGACATATCTAAAGGTATTTCGATGCGGGGACTTCCAATCTGATGCTGGTTTTTTGAAAAGTTTTTTTGATTACTTTCTTTACACAAAAGAGCACTTTTTTATATAAAAAAAAAACTTTTTATAAGGGTTGACCGAACGGTTATTATGATCGTAGAATTCCAATCTGAAGTCAATTTTGAAATTGTTAGAATAAATAGATTACTGGTAGCGAAGACATCGCTTCTATGAGAACGAGTTGAGCGAGTCTCCAGACGAGCATTACTTTTTCTTTAAGATTTCACACATTAAAATCCAAAAATTTCAGATTTTCTTTTTTGACTCTTTTACTGCTAACAGGATCCTAAAATAGCTAACAAAAAGAAAAAAAATACTATGAGTTGTATAATTCAAATTTTAATATAAAGGAAGACTAAAATGCATACGATAACTTAAAAAGTAGAAAAGACTACACAATGAAAACAAGGTTAATTCTCTATTAACAGTTGCTAAGATGAATACAATGTGATTGATACATCGGGTATATTCATATTTCTTCAAACTTTATAGTATAGCCATATATGATTCGTGTTTATAGTCAAAAAGCGCACATATTTTTTATTTTGACAGTATAACAAGGTGTATGTTTCGGATTAATCAATATGTATCTATCTTGTTCTACTCGTTAATCATTTTTCTTATTGTATATATCTAATTAACTAATTACATTTTCAGACGTTCATTATTACTTTTTCTATCGTATTGATTGAGTACATGTACCGTTATTATCTTTCTCATTCCTTTTTTTCTTTTAATCTAATTTTACTACTCTCATGAATGATGTATTCGCTCGACAGCAGTGTGCAATAATCTGATCGGTGAGAAAAATGACTGTTTCAAGTGGAGTTTTGATTTTCAGGTTAAAAATGTTAGACTTCATGTCATAAAGCATACCAACGAATCACAAGTTTACGAAGACTAGTTTATTCTATATTTGTACTGTCAATCAAAAAAAGAGTAATCAAAGGAAAAATGCTTTACTATATAGTGAATAATCGAAAAGAATATGACTGGTGAAAAGGGATTTTCTGAATTTATCATTAGATTATTATGTGAACTTGTTTACAAAAAGAAAAATTATTCTTTTAGTACACAGCATATTTCAATTTCTTTGTTTTTGTTGTTGTTTTTTATATCATATGACGACCAGTAATAAATTCATTTAAATCTTTATTGGTCGATTATTGGAGGTTTTCTATATGTTTTTTTGATATTACATAAATATGTTGGAGAGAATAAAAACAATTATATTTTAGATTCAGTGAAAGTTGCATTGGCGCATATAGTGTTTGCTCGGTTTCAGTCGAATATTTTTTTAACTAGTCATTTAAAAATAACTTCAAGTGTATATTTTTCATGGTCTCTATCAGAACATATTGATCATTTGGCTTCATATTATTAAATGCACAACGAGGCAATGGTAGTTGCTGTTATGTGTGAAAATAGTAAAATATATCGCGCAAATAAATTTCCAATACAAACGAATCTATATAATTTAGTAGTTGCTAGATCTTGTATGTTATTTCTCATTCAAAAAGATATCAATTAAATTTTGTTTTTTTTACTCAGCGTATGGAATATCTTCTATTTTAAATATGGTTAGGAAGGCAATTGATGTTGTTGTTGTTGTCTTTCGACCATTAAATTTTAAGTCAGCTGCGAAGGATGGCGAAGAAAATATGGTAGCAGGGCTGTTAAGTAGTTTCAATGGTTCTACATGTTTTCTTATAATTGACGAAGCTGATGTTGTATTGAAAAAAAATGGGTTATACCTTACTACCACCTGGAGTTCGTGATTAGTCAACAAATGACTGCAGAAGTCAATTGTTAACTTTATATGATAGACCACATAGTTTCACACGGCGATTAAAATATGAAAGTATAGAAGTTTTCGATGCAAAACTCAACGTTCTTGTATGTATTTGAGAATATTGTTTAGTTTTATTGTTACTTTTTGTAATAGGGTGCAGAATAAGGTGATCTGATAATTGCTTCTTGAATATGTTAGGCATCTGGTTCTATGGCAGATGTATTATTGGAACGTACAGTGATCTGGCCACTTGATGGTGATGTAATATGAATTATATTTTGATAAAGAAGCCAACGAAAAAATGATTATATGGTGCGATGATTTAAAGAAAAAAAGTAAGAATAATTTAATCTTGTGATGAATAAATATGCTGTATTCATTAGTCTAATTTCAATACATTAAAAAATTCAGAAACATACAGCTCTATCTGAAAAATATCCGTCTAATTATATCTTCCAGTTAGTTTGTGTTTTTTTCTATTGTTTTTAACCAAAAATGCAACGTAGGACTACTGACATATCAAAAAATATTATAATAAAAATATGAGTCACACATCAGTTAGATCAAAATTTTTAGAGGCCAGTTTTTTTTTATGTAATTGATATATTATTAATGATTATATATTGGGATTAACAAGAAAGAATTAAAAAATGACAATACTATTAACGAAGCGTTAAATAGATGGGGATAAGACATAGAAATAAAAGAAGAAGAGAAGAAAATTTGAGAATCATACCACCACATATAAGTTTTTTTACTGTCATTTATTTATTTTCTTTGTTTGGAAAATAATAATACCTCTTATTAAATCTTACATTTTAACGGAAGATAAGACAAACGCTTTTATTAACAACAAAAAGATAGATAGAATGATAATCATAGTGAAAAGGACCAAAAATTGCTACTAAGAGAACATATCAGAAAACTATCACACTGACAAATAATAAGATAGATTTGTAAGATGGAAATTTTAATTTATCGAGTTGTATACAAATAGTTGATTGAAAAATAGTTAAATTATGTGAAACCTATCTTTTATGTAATATATGATAAAACAGAAAGAGCTTATATATTTTTTTCTTGAAGGTGCTGCAGAAGAAAAGAACGATCATCTAGCAGCTCGTTTAGTTAAAAGTGTTCAAAATGCTCACCGTATTGCTGGCTACCTGTATATTATTGAATTGGCTTATTCAGTTGGTTTCAAATATCTTTCATTTTATGAACATTTTCCGAGTGATGGCAAAGTTACACCTGGAATCGTAGAACGTGTAGAAAATTTATTTACCGAATATTTTTTAAAACAAAACGGTGAAGATATCCAACATTGTATAGCACTTGATATCGTAGAACGATGTCGTGATCTAATAACAAGAAACATTGAACAATATAAATTAGGCTGTGGTGTGGGTGTGAACGTTGATCTGGTCTTACGCCGACACCCACACCCACGCCCACCCCCCTCACCCTTCCGTATTTTTATCGTGTGAATCACCGTTTCATATGATCCTCAAGCCAATATATGTTTATCTAAAAAATGCTTGTGAACAAAAATTAATTGACATAGATGTAATATATCTGTGCCATATTTTGGGCGGGTATATTAAACTAATTGGAAAACAAATGGAATTAGTGTCGTATATTATTACTGATTGTTCGTATGAGCCAGCGGATAAAGATATGATTCGTTTGAATGAAATAGGTTTTTATATTGAAGAGATTTTTTATGGGGATTGTAGATATGGAGTTTTGAAGTTGATGATAATGAAGATGGAAAAATTGATGGATATATGTAGATGGAAATATGGCAATATGACTTTAAAGAATTATGTCGACGACATATTATAAAATGTGTTCGTGATAATAGAAAACTTTTTATCCAAATTGAAAAACAATTGAATATTTCTTATCATTTAAAAAAACTTTGAAATTTATTTAATTTGTTTGTTAGTTTTTGTTTTCTTTCGAATAAAAATAATTTTTTTAAATGGATGAAATGATTTATTAAGAGTCAAAATAATATATATTTATTTCGTTTTCCGATTCGTAAAAGAAATCTTTTGTACATTGTTATTTGATAAATTACTCGTCATTTTAAATGTGTTTTTAGTAAATGAAAAAATTTAATCTGAAATTTTGATTCAGTATCAGAACCGATAAGTTTCGCAACTAGATAAATTTAAGCAGAATGCTTATATTATTCTATTAGTGCTTGTATTAATTCCATATTGAATTAACACTCATTTTATTTTCATACTGATACGAATATTAAATCTTTTTTGCATTCAATCAAACTGATCTGAATTTTTTGAATAAGTCGCAGAATCTAGAATCAAAAAATCTAGAAAATAAAAATTTAGATAACAAAAATCTAGAAAAATGAAAATCTTACAAAATACTAGAGAAAGTCGGAAACTTTGCATAAATAGATTTATTTTTATTCCACAAAAAAAGAAAAAGCAGAAAAAGTACCTAACCAGAGAATATAAATGTGGGTGTGTGTGGATCTGAGTCTGAGTGTTCTCTTTAGATCAAGAACGGACACTCACATCCACTCCAATTTGCCACCGGTCTGTTAATCAGACATATGATGTTCTTTTTTTATAACATTACTCGAGTAGTTGTTTAGAAGATGATCAAGGGACCACACCCTCTATTCGCCAGTTTAGTTTAATAGTAATGGCGCGATTGATTAAAGTCATAGCAAGACTTGAATAGCAAAAAGTCGGCCTGATTTTGTTCCATCTACATCATTAAAATTTTCTAAATATATCGTTTCTAGATTTATTTTTCTAGATTTTGCGACATTACCTATTTTTTTATCGAGTGATAGAATTGGAAGAATATAAAAGAATTTGTTATTTTAATCTTCTCCTTTATATTCACATGTTTGATCGCTGATTTTCATGTCACAGAATATATCTCCAAATCAATAGGTAATACTATAAGTTAACAAATATTAGATCTCTGTACAAATACTGTAAAAAGTGATATTGTCTCAAAGTAATCAATATACAATCCCTGAATAAAGGTGAATAAATATATAAGAGTATCAAACATCGAACTTTTCTTAGTCACAGAAACATGTATGCAGAACGACAGCGAGTGTCCATATATTTTAATATGGCTATCGATACTAGCAAATACTGACGTTATTTTTGAATGTTTTAGTATTAATGGATCGTTCTAAGACTTCTTTTTAAATCACAAAAATAACATATTTTAACATGTAATCAGTACACCGAAAACTTTATTTCTCTAAACGTATGTCGACATATCGAACCACAGTAACAAAATAAATCTGTATTTTGTTGCTAGTTTCCTTAGTTTAAAGGGCGCAGCGACAATGATGTGAATATTTTATTCATCTTACACTCATAATACCGTCAATCTCACATTCAAATGTATAATTACACTCTCATTTTCTTGAGTTAAATATCTGATTTTGATTAGAAAATTACTGTTGGCATGCAATGCTAAAAGGAAATAATATATGATTTTATATATACTACCGTTTAAAATTTATATTCTCTATTATATCAATAAAAGCAATTTTTTGAATACATAACAAATAACATAAGATAGATAACATAATTTATGTTACCTGTCCTAGATGTCAATGAAAGTGAGAATTAGTTTAGAAATAATTTCATTCACATTCGATCTTCTCTATCGCATTATATGAAAAAAATCAAGTACAAATTAAATATTGTTAGGTATCAGATTATCATCAAAAATAAACAGAGTGTAGTTATATACTGTTGAATATAAATGTATATCAAATGCATTATATTTATTATTAGAACTGAATATGATGAATATAAAATAACAGAAGAAGCTATAAATATATACTTAAAATAAACAGGTTAAATAAACGTTTTTTAAATATATAAAATCTTTTGTCTTTAAAATAATTAAATATAATAATAGTTTGAGTTAACTGCGGTGAGTATAGGTTGGTGTACTAGTTACAATATCATTGTCATCGGTGACACATACAACACGACGTGGATCAAACATTCTATTTTCCATACCATGTCTTGCATTATAAGGATGTAAGTCTATGATAAATAAATAAAAATAAAAATATATATTTTGATTAGCACAAAAAATTATTTTTACTGTTATCAAATGCTAATATTGTTTGAGAAGCCTGTTCAAAGTTTTGTCCGACTAATTCTGGCCATTGCTTATTTCCAGACATTATTGAAATTGATCAATATAATTCTGTACGTTTAATAATATCTTACCTAGCTTGAATGTATGTCTTTATCGTTTGTAACTAGGTTTTAGTCAACAACGCTCGTCTTTTTTTTTCTTTTATCCTTCTGTTCTGTCTATAAATTGAAGGACGAAAAAAAGAAAAATGTAAAAGGTAGTTTATTTGCCTGCTCCGCTCGTCATCACACTAGCAACAACAATAACAACGATAATATCAGCAGAATGATAAAAATATATTTATCCAAGGCCAAATTTTTTTTATTGGATAAATATAGAATACTTTCTGTTCTGTACAGCTATCGTATTGAAACAAGTTAATAGATCTAAGTATGACTGTATTTTGTATTCATTCTAAAAATAAATAATTCAAAGATGTCAAGAATGTATATTTTCTTCGTCTTTACGTTATTTTTTTTGTTGACGATAAAATGATGATCAGAATAGCCAATTAACCTATATTTTACGTCACAGAATCATTTATTTCTATTAAAATTAGTATACTCTGATGAGATTAAAATTTAATGAAAATAATAGCCTTGAAATTGCAGAAACTTCTCAAGGTTTGACTTTCTTTTTCTTCGATTAAAAAGAATAACAACTATTTCTAGTCATATTTACAATCAACTATTTTAAATGTTGAAATGAAGTATTTATGTATAGATTTATTTAATAAAAATATTGATTCTTCAAAATTTTAGTAGTTTGAATCAATACTTGTTTTTATTATAAATAAAGTAAGTCAAAATAAGTGTGAAAACATTCACTCTTACAATGAAGATGGTCAATCATTGTCAAAAATAAAGTAAATTTCAATTGATTAATTTATTTATATTTATTTCTGTACAAAAAGGTTGTTTTCTAAAATATTCATATGAGTAAAAATCTTTGATTTTTATTGAATGATAAGTTAATTAGTAAGAAAATGACATTGTTTTGTTATAAAAAAAAATTACAAATACACTGAAAATTCTATTGATTATAAAAGCACAACTAATAGTTTCATACCATCAAATTTTATTAGGTACACAAAAGAATCTGACTGGATTATTTTAATACAGATTTATTCGACATTAAAATACAACGAAAAATGTCATATCTGTTTTTATTATTATGAAACAAAAACGATGTACTTTTTATTTATAAAGAATGAATACCAACTATCATGTTAATATATTAAGTATTGTTCTTATACATTATCATAGAGTACGCATAAATATTTTTAAAATCTTACTGACGTACTTTTTTCATTCAATATTTATAAATAAACAAATATTCAAACATGGTTTGTTCCTTCGGATATTTTCATGATTATTTGTAAAATTCTTGCGAATATATTCACTCTTATCTTTTTTGTTTATTATTATTATTGATAAAACATGTCACACTGTTCTGATGATGCTTATTACAAACTCATATGTAGCTCAATTTGTATGAACAAGTAATATATTTTCTATGGTTATATTTACACTTTACAATGATATTAAACAAATTCAAGGCTATATAAGTTATATGATAACTGGAACACAATTGTGTTCTTATTTGTATATCATGGATTTGTGGTATTATTTATCCTATTTCAATAGTATTCACTGATCAAGTATATGTCTAATACCACTTCGATTATCTTCCTTAACTATATAAATTCTTTGATAGCATTTATATTAGTCTATATTAAAATGGTTCAATATGTAGAAAAAAAAGACTAACATAAAAAATTTTTCGATGTTGTATCGTATTGTTATTATTTAGATGATGAGAATATAAACTAGAAATAATTGTAATAGAATCTTTTAATTCTGTCGTATGATCGATATCACTTCGTCACAATGAGCTTGTTGCATATAAAGAAAATCTACGATAAAGTTAATTTTTTAATCGAAATTTAAGTAAAACTAAAATATTCATCCACCAGCAGGATTGCTTTATATATCAAAGGAAATTGTCCAAGAAAAAACTGAATGGAGTATACACATCAAGAAAAGGTAGATTTCATCTCTATTTGCATCACTCTCATCCATATCATTGTTTATCAGAAAAAAATAAAATATGATGCAAGAAATTACCGTCTAATGTTTTTACAATAAAATAATATTTTGCTGAAAAACAAAAAAATTAAGATCATATGTTTTGATCGTTGTTAATATACATTAGATATTTTATATTGTGGGGATAGTTTAGTTCATGTTTGCTGTAGTATAAGTTTTAAATGTTGTGAAAATTGGTGGTGATGGCAGAACCCAATTGAATATATTTGTTTGTTGAGTTTCATGGGTATTATCGGCACTTGCCTGAGTCATAATAATAGATTCTCTTTCACTTTGCGAAACAGGAACAACCTGGTTATCGTTTGTTAGAGATAAACTTTTTATTTTGAAACCATGTGTAATCCAATGAAAGAGAGCATAAGCTGAAATAACAATAAAACCAACCATTGGTACTAAAAACGAAATACGAGTAGAATATATATCAGCTATAGCACCTTGAATCGGTGGAAAAACAGCACCTCCAGAAATTGCCATAATAATAATACCAGCTCCACGTTTTGTATGACGGCCGAGATTAGCTGTACCCATAACGAAAATAGTTGGGAACATAATTGATTCGAAAAAATATAATGACATCAGTACAATGACAGCAGAGCGACCATGACCCGCAGATGTGTAAGCACAAAGACCGATACTAATTATAGAATAAATAAGAAGTATAAAATCAACTTGAAGCAAGTAGACCAATCCAATACCAACGAATCGTCCAAGAGTAAATATCATGAGAGCATATGATAAAAGATTCGATGCTTGAGAATCTGTAAAATCAGCATTTTCAGTAGCATAGTTGAGAAAAAAAGAGCCAACTGTACCCTAAAACATGTATCAGATCTAAATAGGTTATTCATATTTATCTAATAAATCTATTCGATAAAAGCAATTATATATGCATGTATCTTTTATTACCTGAGCACCAACACAACAAAACTGTGCTACACATGCAAAAATCATATTGTATTGCTTCCACAATGGATTAGTTTGTATTTTGACTGTATCCGTGGTATCATAAAAATCTTCATCATCAATGATGACTTCGGGTAATTTAGAAAAGATAAAAACAATAGCGACTAGTATTGCAGTACAAGAAATAGCTATGTAAACGTATTTAACATTATCAAGATTATCAGCATTTTTATCTGAGAAGAACACTTTAGATGCAATGAGTGGACCGATAAATGATGCTACACCATTCCATGCCTGGCAAAATTGTAACCGCAAAGAAGCTGATTTTGGATCACCAATAACAGTTGCATACGAATTAGCTGCAATTTCTAATGTACCAAGACCACAAGCAATAACAAAAGTACAAGCAATAAAACCTCCATAAGCTTGTTTAGTATTATCTGGCGTAGAAAAATGAGCAGTTGGCCAGAAGCAAATAGCTCCCAACGCATAGAGAACTAAACCTACAACAATGGTAATTTTGTAACCTTTACGTCTGAGTAATTCGGCAGCAATTGGTGAGAATAAAAAATAACCACCACCAAAATAAGCAACTTGCAATCCAGTAGATTCAAGTTTTGTAATTTGGAGAACATTTTGAAAATGTTTATTTAGTACATCAAGAAGGCCATATGAAAATCCCCAAAGAAAAAACAGAGAAGTGGCTAAACATAAAGGAAATATAAGTTGACGACCTTTGAGATATGAACGAGTGACCGAGCGAGGTTCAATAATTACACCTCCAGCCATTTCAAATGATATAGTTAATTCGATAGATTAGTTTGACTTACTAAATTAAATAAATTATCTAGAGATACAAATCAAAACACGCGTAAGTAAAAGTAAAGTATACTTGTCAGCAGATTATTGAAACTATGTATCACATATTTTTATTTATGATGTTTAAATATATATACATATATATCCTTTCTTTTGATTTTTATATCGCATTAAAACCATTTACAGATCGAAATGCACTTTAAAGATACAAAATCATTTACAACATGCAAAGATTTATATGACAGTTAGATGCAATTAAACATTATCATAGAAGAGAGTTGTATACAGATTATATATACGTATATGTATATCACATACCAAGGTAAATTAGAATTACTTAAAAAAGTGTAATACAATGCATTGATCGACAATAGAAATAGTTAAAACTGAAAAATTATCTCGAAAATAAGCTCATCTATTGTTTTATTTTTTATGAAAAAATCTACAAAAAGTTGTCATTTAACAAATGATGTATATATATATAACAATGAAGATCAATTGAGAAATATGAAAATTGAATTGATCAAAAATCAAATAAAAACATGACCTAGATTAGTGTAAATGGTGATTCTTCATAGACGTAAGAGAAAATGTATCTTCGTAGAAATCATATGATCCTTGAAATATAAAACAACTTACCGATATAAATGTATATGTGAAAATGTTTTTTTTTCAATACATAACTGGTTCATTATACTAGAGACATAACAATCACACTTGATACAACATTCTTTAGCCTTTGGTTATCAAAACACTTTATCGAGTATATTCTGTAATAATGGCATCAATGCATATTCAATTATTCTTTTATGTTACGTTTTCATGAACTTTTATCATCTATTGACTCTTATGTAAAAGTATAAAGAAAAAGAATTTGATTATGAATTCATATTTACACAAATATTATTGCAAAAAAATTGAAAAAAAAGACTATTAACATTATTAAGAAGAAAAATTTAGTTATGAAATAAGTTTTCTTTCGATTAGCCAATTGTGAAATAACGTTGGCCAAAGACTTTCAGCTTGTTCATCCTCGGCGAGTCCAGCACCATGCTTGCCTTGTTCGAACATATGAGCTTCATACGAAATGCCAGCATCTTCGAGAGCCTTAATAAATAATACACTATTTTGTGAACTGATTTGTTTATCATCGACACTCTCGAATATGAAAGTAGGTGGAGTATTTTTAGTGACATGCTTCTGTCCAGAGAGATAATTCTCTAGACTTGTTAGTTCATCTCCAGTATATCCGAATAAGAGATGTTTCCTTGATGCGTTTGAAGCATATTGTTGTGGATCCATGGAGATAACTGGATAGCCGAGACCAAGAAAATTTGGTCGTGCATTCGTTGAATCCAAATCATCTTGATTTGTTAGATTAAAATTTTGATTAGAATGGAGAGCAACCGTTGATGCTAGGTGACCACCAGCCGAAAAACCAAAGAGACCTACATGGTCAGGATTGATTTTAAATTGCGCAGCATTGTAACGTACATAACGAAGTGCACGTTGACCATCCCACATAGGCACTGGATATCGATAAGTGCCATCTTTCTGTACTAGACGATAGTATAGGATGAAACTTGTGATACCTTTAAGAATAAAATCAAAATCAACTTTAGCTCTATGTACAATATTCGAATTATTATATTAACAAGTAATTGTTTTTTTTTGTTCTTTAACTTCTTTACGTACCTAACTTATTTGAAAAGTATTAAGCAACAGGTGTTTGTTCGTTGCTATCAGTCAGTTTATCGTAGCCACCTCCCGGAATTATGATAATACCAATATCGGTTTGCGGAGCTGACGCATTCGGCATGAAGACTTTAAGAAATGGAATATCTTTGCAAGAATCATTACCGACTGCTCCAGGAGCGCTATTATTCCACAGACGCAAGTTACTTTCGTCATCTGAATCATAACAGGGTGGCGGCGTCGAAGTTGAAGTTTTCGCTTCCATATTTGCGTTTGCTGATCTTTTTTGATAGCGAAATCTTAGTCTAAAACGATCGATCATTGTAAGAATGTTTCTTTCATTCAAAGTATTTGAATATCTCATTAAATTACAATTAACACCAGGCATTTGGTTGATAATGTAAAATTGTAGAAGTAGTAGAGACAGAAGCATACCATTCGTATACATAAGCTGCTTCATTGTTCTTGTTGCTTTACTGTTTAAAAAAAATCAGTTGATTGAGGAGAAAAAAAATTGTTTTAATCGTTAGATATTTATATAACGTATTTTTATTCACACAAAAAATAATGCGCAAACGAAAAAAATCCCTCCTATACATGCGTCATCAGTGAGTAGTATTTACTATTTATATATATACATGGACGTAATTTTAAGGTGACGTACGACCATTCTTTCCTTGAGAAGAGCGTCGAATATATTCTATTAGTAATATACAGTAAATGATATATCTCTTTATGTCGTTTCGTTTTATCATCGTTCTTTGATTGTATGTATAGAAAACTATCACGTGGTGAGAAAAAAAGATAAATTTCAATTGCGTAGTATGTTTAGAGTACGTACTAGAAATGAATTTTGTTCATATTAAACAATGAAAATTATAAAAATAATTTTTATACTAAACTTTAGTAATTCCAGAAACTCCATATTATTTACTGGTAGAACCGGCAAGATCTTGTGTCAAAATCTATACAACATGAATAAATTCATTCTAATCCTATGAAATTTTATTTAGAAATAATTGAGTATAATTTAATTATATAAAACTAGTTGAATAAAGTCATTTTTATAAGGTACAGATGAAAACAAATAATTATTTAAATGCATTTAAAATATCAAGAACAAAGCGATATTTTACATCAGCTTTGACTGTTCGATCATAAGCTGTTTTAATTGTTTCTGGTGTTGCTTCAATCTTTTCAATATCACATGTAATATTATGTTTACCACAAAAATCAAGCATTTCTTGAGTTTCTTTCATTCCACCAATTAAACTACCAGTAATTGTCGGTCGTTTCATTAGAAGAGTAAATGCTCCAATTTCAAGAGGTTTTGTTGGTGCTCCAACTCTAAATATGAAATAAATTATTTTAGATGTATAATATACGATAAACGTAATACATACGCGCAATAGACTCCTTCAAATTTTAACAAATTAAGTAAAGGTGCGACATCATGTGGTGCTGATACTGTATCAATAATCAAATCTAATGAATTTGCAGCTGTTTTCATTTGTTCATCATCTTTTGAAACAAGAAATGCTTTAGCGCCAAGTTTCATTGCATCATCACGTTTCGATTCGGAAGTTGAAATGACGGTAACATGAGCACCCATAGCTGCGCCAAGTTTAACTCCTATATGACCTAAACCACCCAGACCAACAATTCTAAAATATGAAATTAACATCTCATATAATTAAAAACAGTATTAAATAAATACCCTAATTGTGTATGTTTGTCGACTTTGTAACGTCGTAATGGAGAATAAGTTGTAATACCAGCACAAAGTAATGGTGCTGCGGCATCTAATGGTAAATTTTTAGGAATTTTGCAAACAAAATGTTCTTTAACAATAATTAAATTGGAATAGCCTATAAATAATAGAATAGAAATGATTTTAAAATTTTTTAAAATAATATTTACCTCCATATGTTGGTGTTACTTTATCAAGTTCAGTACTATTGTATGTTAAACATGAATCAGCGCAATTTTGTTCAGTGTCCTTTTTACCTAAATAGTTTAAACATAGAAAAAACAATAATTGTCAGAATAGAAGATAATTACAAATGTGACATTTGCGGCATGAATCAACCATACAACCGACACCAGCATGATCACCTGCACGAAAATGTTTGACACTTGAACCAACTTGTTCAACAACACCAGTAATTTCATGACCTGGTACCATAGGATACTTTGACATGTGCCATTCATTGTATACTTGATGAATATCCGTATGACAAATACCACAATAATGAATACGAATGACGACATCGTCAGCTGCAGGCATACGTCGTTCGAAATTAAACAATTTGAACGGAGTTGATGCACTATCAACAGCATATCCTTTTGCAGCAATTCCAATAGGTGATGTTGTATTAGCAGTAGTTCTAACATAGAATTAGATATGATAAATAATAAAAAAGAAGAAAACAAGATAATTTTTAGTATTCAATTTTATGAATCTTGTTTGTATTTCTCTCTCTCAAAGTTTTTATTTTAGAACAATATATACACGTATACTTACTGCTTAGAAGTCATAGTTAATAGACAAGTATGATATATTCAAAGTGTGAAATTGTCTGAATGGCAGTATAAACAATAATACTTTTCTTTCACTTTACACTACTACTTATATAGTTTTTTTTCGCATCGTCATGATGCGACAGTGCTTCTTATAATTGCTAATGACAAAGCATTTTTTTTTCTTTCTCTTCTGTTTGTATTTTCTTTGGCAGCGGCCATAATCGACAGATTATTTATTTGCAGCACTCGAAGTATGAACTGAAAGAAAAGTACGCACTTTCAGTATATTTTTAGAAACTTACTTTGTTGTATAATGCGAAAAAAATATGAACTAATCTTTTTTGAAATTGAAAATGATTTTTTTCATATTGATAATGTAAATAAATACTTGATCTATTAATTATTAAGATTGATCTCATGAAACATATTTTATAGATGATTTGCAGTTTTTATCTAAGAAAAGAACAATAAGAAATCAAAATATATAATACTATATCAATATACATACTAAAGGTCATAATTGAAACTCCGTCAAGTAAAAAATTAGCAAGTTCTCAGAAAAAAATTAGAAATATTGTACGTGTTAACTCGTAAACTACAGATAAAGTTATTTTAATTATTATAATTTATACTTTATCTAATAAGGAAAAAAATATCGTTTTATACACATACTGTATTTTCATTGCATACAAGTAAATGATGAGTACGATATATGTATGTATTTTTTCAATGCATTCCTACTCTTTTCCAGTTCCTTTCGTTTTTCTTTATTGACTTCTCTCCACTATGTATATTGCATTTAATTGGAAAATAAAGTAGATGTTTATGTTTAATTAATTTAATCGATTATCCCGTTAACAAGCGTCATCTGATAAGGTACATGTAATGTATATAGATTGGAATAACAACCAATCAAACGTTTTAATCATTTATTGTTATTTATACCTTGTCATTGTTATATATGTTGGCAAAGTACTGGTATCATTGTTCTTTGTGTTTTTACCTTTCTTATCTATAACCCTTGATCAAATACACTTTTTTATTCTTATGATATAAAGAGACTCAAAAAAACACAGACAACATACACTATCAAAATGAATTCGATTTCATTTTTTGTGAATGGTAAAGAAATAATTGATTGTAATGTTGAACCTGAATGGACTGTTCTTTGGTATTTAAGAAATAGTATGTATTCAAAAATATTTGCTATACTAAATAAAATATTTTTTATTATTGTTTATAGAATTAAGACTAACTGGTTCAAAATTAGGTTGTGGTGAAGGTGGCTGTGGTGCATGTACAGTTCTTATTTCGCAATGTATTGATCGAGAATCTGGTGAAATTGAACATCGTACAATAAATGCTTGTTTAGCACCTTTATGTTCTATTGACGGATGTCATATTATTACTGTTGAAGGTTTAGGTTCAGTAAATAAATCAAATCTTCATTCTGTTCAAACTCGTCTTGGTGAATTATCAGCTTCACAATGTGGATTTTGTACACCAGGAATGGTTATGTCACTTTATGGCACACTTATATCAAAAGATAATATTTTACCAACTATACATGATATTGAAGAATCTTTTGATGGAAATCTTTGTCGATGTACTGGATATCGTCCAATTCTTGATGCTGCAAAAACATTTGCATGTGATATTGATAAACTTTATCATGAAAAATCATTATCATTATCATCAACAACATTTGATAAATGTTCTTCATATATTCAAAAAAATTCTTCTCCAATTAATAAAATCGAATTTCCTTCCAAACTTCTAAATTACATTCCTCAATCAATTCATATTAAAGGTTCAATTGATTGGTATCGTCCAGTATCTCTTCATGAATTACTCAATCTTCGTCATACATATCCAGGTAATCAATCAAAACTTATTTTTGGTAATACAACAGTACAAATAGAAAGAAAATATAGAAAGATTCATTCATCTCGTTTAATTTCTATCACTCATATAAAAGAATTACAAGAAATAAAACGAACAAAAGATTCAATATATTTTGGTGCTGGTATTACATTTACACATTTAAAATCAAAATTAATTGAATGGAATAATGATAATGATCATTTTTCTAAAGCTTTACTTCATCAATTAAAACATTTTGCATCAACACAAATACGAAATGTTGCTTCACTTGGTGGAAATATTATTGCTGCTTCACCAATGTAATTAACATCAGAGGAAAATTTTGATTTTTTATAAACATAATTTTTCTTATTGTTTTTTTTAGTTCTGATATTAATCCAATATTAGAAACTGCAGGTGCAATACTTGAATTACATCGTGCTGATCAAACAGAAGTACGACGTATTTTATTAAGTGATTTTTATCTTGGTGATCGTCGTGTTTCAATGGCTGATAATGAAGTACTTGTTGGTATTCATATTCCTCTACCAAATTCATCAACAAATAAATTTTTTCTTCAATCATATAAACAAGCTCGTCGTCGTGATGATTCAAAAGGAATTGTTAGTGGTGGATTTCAAGTTGAACTTGAACAAACGAATTTAGATAATAATCAATGGAAAATTGTTTCAATTTGTTTTTCATTTGGTGGAATGGCATCGAAAACAATTCAAGCAAAGCATACTCAACAACAACTAATTGGATTACCTTGGACAAAAGAAACAATTAATCAAACATATCAATTACTTCTTGGTGAAATGCCACTTGATGAATTAAGTCAAGGCGGTCAAATTGAATACAGGTAAATACTTATTTACTATAGAATTTATTAGTAAAAGATACATTGATTGACAATCAAACTTATGTTTAATAATTTATTTAGACGAACATTAGTTCAATCATTTCTTTTTAAATTCTATTCTTATGTATGTAATGAATTACGTCAATCAATCAATGATTTAAGTATTCTTGATTATAATCGACCAATATCTCATGCTCAACAAACAATACCAGAACGACCTCAAACACAAAAAGTTGTTGGTAAACCATTACCACATCGATCAACTTATTTACATACAACTGGCGAAGCTGTTTATGTTGATGATATGCCATCTTTAGTCAATACACTTCATGCTGCACTTGTACTTAGTACAAAACCAAATGCTCGAATAAAACATATTGGTAAGAGTTACTATTTTATTTATATGTTTGTTTTAAATCTAATTAAAATAAAATTATAATAATAGACATTGAAGCTGCTTCGAAAGTTCCTGGTTTCGTAGAATTTGTTGATCATCGAGATGTACCAGGTACGAATAAACCAAATGGTCCACTACCTGATGAAGAAGTATTTGTAACTTCAATTGCACTTTGTATTGGTGCAATTATTGGTGTTGTTATTTGTGAAACAGAACACGCAGCTCAAATAGCTGCAGATCTAGTTAAAATTGATTATGAATTATTATCACCAACAATTTTATCAATTGATGATGCTATTAATCATGAATCTTATTTTGGTAATGAAACATGTCTTCAGCGAGGTGATGTTGAAAAAGCTTTTGCTGATGCTGAACATATACTAGAAGAAACAATTTATATTGGTGGTCAAGAACATTTCTATATGGAAACAAATTCTTGTATAGTTATACCATCACATGATGATAATGAAATAACAATACATGCAGGTGTACAAAGTCCATTGGCAGTTCAACAAACAGCTTCATTAGTACTTAATCGAGATGTTAGCCGTATAATATGTCATGTCAAACGAATAGGTGGTGCATTTGGTGGAAAAGAATCGAGAGCGTAAGTAAAAATTTTTGTTGATGAAAGATGAACAAGAAAAGAGTATTAAAATATATGAAGGAGATATTCATATTTTTAGTTTACCACATTGTCTAGCTATTGCAGTAGCTGCTGTCAAAGTAAATCGTCCTGTTCGTATTAATCTTGATCGTTATACTGATATACGTATAACTGGACATCGACATCCATATAAAATAAAATATAAAGTTGGATTTACTAAAGAAGGTCGACTTTTAGGACTTGATATTCATATGTGGAATAATGCAGGTTGTACATTGGATGCGTCACAAGCTGTAATGGAACTAGGCATGCTTCATATGGGTAATACTTATCAATTTCATAATATTAAAATTCATGGTCGTGTTTGTAAAACACATACATCATCAAATACTGGTTTGTTTTATTTTTATAAATAAGATTTAAAATAAATAAGTTTTTTTTAAAGCTTTTCGTGGTTTTGGTGGACCACAATCAGTATTAGGTTGTGAAACAATTATTGAACATATTGCTGCATATCTTAAATGTGATCCATTTAGTATTCGTACTCTTAATCTATTTCAAGAAGGTGATATGACTCATTATGGACAAATTTTAGAAAATTGGAATGTTCCAAGAATATTGAATGAACTTAAAATATCAAGTGATTTTATTCAAAGACAAATTAATGTTCAAGAATTTAATCAACAAAATATCTATCGAAAACGTGGTATATCACTGATACCAGTTAAATTTGGTATTGGATTTTCCGTTCAATATTATAATCAAGCAGGAGCTCTTGTTCATATATACCAAGATGGTTCTGTAGTTCTTACTCACGGAGGAGTCGAATTAGGACAAGGTTTGCATACAAAAATGATATCAATAGCTGCTGAAGTATTAGGTTGTAATCTTGATCGTATACGAATTAGTGAAACATCAACTGATAAAATACATAATATGAGTCCAACAGGTGGATCAGTTTCGGCTGATCTTAATGGAATGGCTATAAAACATGCTTGTGAACAACTTCGTCAACGATTAGATACACTTATTGTTGATAACAATGATAATATATCATGGGAAAAACTTATTGACAAAGCGTATTATGCTCGTATTGATTTATGTGCACGTGGATTCTATATAACACCTAATATGTTCGATGCTGATTTTAGTCAAAATAAAGCTACGTATAATTATTTTTCACAAGGTGCAGCAGTAACAGAAGTTGAATTAGATGTATTAACAGGTAGTTGGCATCTTTTACGTGCTGATATTCTTATGGTATATTTAAAATAATTGTTAACAAATATAAATAAAACTCATTTATTATTCTAGGATGTTGGTACATCACTCAATCCTGAAATCGATATTGGACAAATTGAAGGTGGTTTCATGCAAGGAATGGGTTTGTATACTATGGAAGAACTTATTTGGGGTGATTATACAAATAATAAATGGATAGAACCAGGAGAATTATTTACTAGTGGACCAGATACTTATAAAATACCATCATTTAGTGATACTCCAATTGATTTTCGTGTTTCACTTTTATCTAATTCGTTTAATCCACGAGCTGTTTATTCGTCAAAAGGTATTGGTGAACCACCATTCGTACTTGGTATATCTGCTTT